TTATTATATATATATATATATATATATATTGTACCTAATTGTAATTGTGTACCTAATGTGCATTAATGATGACCCTAAAATTTAATCCTTCTGTATGCAGTGGCTCTTAATCTTAAAACAAGTTGCATTGTCGCATACGAACGCCTACGCCATTTTGAACAAAATAAATGCACGTTTCCGGAGAGATTTCCCTACCAATTAAAACGAAATGAATAATAAATTTTTCAATAGACCCTTCCGTCGGTGATCTATCAAAGTGTACGAACAACAAAATGAATTATGCTTGCTTCTGTTGAGATTTCAGGTAGGCCACACGTGTAGGGTGCGTTTCTGCTTGAGGTCTATAGTGTGGCGTCCACACAGACACTCCGATGAAAAAGCGCCCTGCCTTTATGTAGTCCTAAAATTAAGGTGGAAATACCTATCGCTTTATGTACGGCTAGAATCAAATGCGCTATGTTAGCATGCATGTTATAGCTGTTATAGACTGTAATAGCAATTGCACTTGCACCTGCAATTGCACTATTTTAATGTATGCAGTCGTCGATTCTAAGGATTCGGATGCGATTTAAAAAATACTACCATGTTCATTCTCGCCGATAAGAAATGAAGTCTAACCGTTACTACGTTCAGCGTCATTCAGCATAACGTATTACCACGCAGTGCGATTATGTGTTAGAGGTACGTATCGCAGTATAAACAGAGAAAGACGAAATTAAAAAGAAGAAGAAGAAAAAGAAGACGGGGAGGAGGAAGAAAAGGAAAAAGAAAAAGAAGACGAAGAAGAAGAAGAAGAAGAAGAAGAAGAAGAAGAAGAAGACGAAGAAAAAGAAGAGGAAAAAGTAGAAGAAGAGGCGAAAGAAAAAGAAGAAAAGGCAGAAGAAGAGGAAGAAAAGAAGAAGAAGAAGAAGAAGAAGAAGAAGAGGAAGAAAAAAAACAAGAAGAATAGGAAGAAAATAAAAAGAAGAAGAAGAAGAAGAAGAAGAAAAGGAAGAAAAAGAAAAACGAGAAAAAGAAGAAGAAGAAAAGAAGAAAAAGAAGATGAAGAAGAAGAAGAACAAGAACAAGAAGAGGAAAAAGAAGAGGAAGAAAAAGAAGAAGAAGAAGAAAGAAGAAAAAGAATATTAGACACGCGAAGTTATTTTTTGCGTACGCTAATATTAAGACGCTGAAGGTTGCTATACACGCATGGAAATATTTACACCAGTTATTACAAGTTAAGTTAAAATATATCACGCTAGAAGCACAATTTCAAGTGAAATTCGCAGTTTGGTACGCAGTAAGAATGGGTCCATAAAACCCTTGGTTAGAACGACTGCATCTGAGGCCAGCGATCACTGGTCTAGTCTGAAGGTAATAAGTTATATCGGCTATCATGCAAGCCGCGCGGCGCCGATGGTCAAATACGCTTCACCATATACATGCGTCTAAACAGAGAAATTGCTCCGACCTGTGATTGGAGGATAAAAATAGAATTCGTGAAGTTACGTTTCACCGGTCATAGCCGCGCGTGTATTAGCCTATGATCATGAGCGATACCGCGCGTGCATATTTGCTAATTAATTAGACTAATCGTGCTTCAATAAACTCGAATTTACAGCGATTATAGCTAAGACATGTATCTATAAGTCTTAGAATGTTTAGAAATATAACTAAAATCGTTCGCGCCATATGATAGTTAGTACACTTTCCTACCGTTCATATAGCGTAATAGCGTATGCGGCGGGGTGTGCAAAATATAAAAGGGAACGTCACAAATTCTATTTTTATCCTCCAATCACATGTCGGAGCAATTCCTCTGTTTAGACGCATGTCACCATACCTTGGAATCCATGCTGAATCGGTGGTAGAGGCCTGCAGGCTCTATAAGCATGCAACCCTTGGTGACCTCCAACCGTATCCACTGATCATTCTTGTCCCGTATGTCGAAATAGCCACTCCCGTCTTGCACATATCGAATTTCGTCGTTCTCATGAATGTGCTCCTTGTAGAAAGTCTCCAACTGGAATACGATTACGATTTTATACCAAATGAAAATGTTCATTTATTTAGTTTCGTTTAACTACAACTCATAGATCAGTGTTAAAATGGTATAAATCTTACTTCGTTTGGATTTGGCTGTGCCACACTGAATAGAAACCCATTTATTAGAGAGAAAAAAATGTTTATTGATCCATAATGTAGTTCAGTAGAATAATCTTTACTGTGTTTGGTAGTTAATCGATCCTGCTAATTTTTACTATATATCTTAGAGTGAAATTACGCATTATATATATATATATATATATATATATACATACATACATACATACATACATACATACATACATACATACATACATACATACATACATACATACATACATACATACATACATACATACATACATACATACATACATACATACATACATACATACATACATACATACATACATAC